TTTGAGGGTTTTGGTTCAACTCCAGCTGATCCTCTCGCTCCTCGAAGGCAGAGGAGCTTTCTCAGGTTTTGTCCTCCCACTTCAACTCGGTATCTGGTTACTCAGATGTTTTAGCAGAGGCAAGACCTCTGTCTCCTAAGTGTCAAACTGTTTATTTGGCTGTCTGTAGGTCCTGAGGCAGATCTCTGGCTACTTGGAATCCAGGGAGCTTTCCTGTGTCAGACTGTTACAGAAGGGGCTCACTTCCTTCATGAGTTCATTGTATTATTTTCATAGGATCACAGAATGGTTTGGGTTCCAAGAGACCTTAAAGCTCATCCCATTCCACCCCCTGCCATGGGCAGGGACACTTCCCACTAGCCCAGGTTGCTCCAAGCCCCGTCCAACCTGGCCTTGGACACTCCCAGGGATGAGGCAGCCACAGCTTCTGTGGGCAACCTGTGCCAGGGCCTCCCCACCCTCCCAGGGAACAATTCCTTCCCAATATCCAACCTAAATTTCCCCTCTGGCAGTCTGAACTCATCCTCCTTGTCCTGTCACTCCAGTTCCTGATGAACAGCCCCTCTCCTACTTCCCTGTAGCCCCTTCAGACACTGGAAAGCTGCTCTGAAATCTCCACACCACCTTCTCCTCTCCTGTTTTCTTCCCATTTCTTTATTTTATACTGGCTGGAGAAATATTGCTCACAGAGGTGCCAGAAACGCAGCTGGTGCTTAAACTGAAGCATCAGGGAAGCCCTGATTTTCTTTGTGCAGGGACCACCCCCCCCCCAACCCATTTAACACCTTGGAAATAGGAACATCCCAACACTGGAAAAACACCCAAGGAAAAGGCAGCGAACAAACACATCAACTCCAGGAGGTTTGCAGGGTCACAAACTACAGTTTATTGCCTTTTTTTTTTTTTTTTCCAGACAGATTGAAGCAAAACAGTGAAGAAAAGAATTCAACATCCCACAAACAGTGACGAGAAGAATTCAACATCCCACACCCCAAGAGGAAAGCGAAGAGCAGGACCAGGGCTGGCGAAGGAAGATCCCGCCGATCGCTGGGGAGCGGCTTCAAAGCCCTTCACGAGCAGCTGGGGACGGAAGGCAGGAAGAGAAGGTAAGATCTACATCTCTAAGTGAAGGAGGAGGAACATTCAGGTTGTTATCCACATCCATATCCAAATCCAGCAGGGAGGAGCCAGGCAGGGCTCAGTTGCCGCCGCAGCAGCCGCCGTTGTTGCCGCCGCAGCAGCCGCCGTTGTTGCTGGTGATGGTGTAGCAGCAGGGCATGGACATGGGCATGCAGCAGGACTGCACGGGCATGCAGCAGGGGCTGCAGCACTGCATGGGGGAGCAGCACACGGGCCTCTTGCAGCCCTTGGAGCTGCTATAGCAGGTCAGGGAGTAGCTTCCTCCTCCGCAGCAGCCGCTGGGCATCTTGTTGGTTGGAGTGTTGGCAAAGCTGGAAGGAAAAGAGAATTTGGGGGTTTTTTTGCTGCCTGAATCGCCCAGCTTAAAGCATTCTTATCCCAAAGTCCATCCCGAAGTGGCTGGGGAGGTGCCTGGTGTCCAGAATCCCAGGGCAGCCTGTCCCTGAGATCTCCACATTTTTGCATTGGATACATGTGCCTTTAGCACATGGTCCAGCACTGGTTCCATCAGAGAGAAACCACCCAGGAAGTGCCCAAACCCATCTCTGGTCCCAGACCCATCTCTGGTCCCAAACTCATCTCTGGTCACAGACCAATCTCTGGTCCCCAAAACAATCCCTGGTCCCCAGATCCTCTGTAGTGCCTGGTCTCAAACCAGACAGCACTAAAAATCCTGCAGAAACCCGCAGAAACCGAGTCCAAAAGTAAAGGCAAGCAGCAAACTCCAACTTACCCTGATGACCAGTGAGGACTGGAGAGAAGTGGAGGTGAGTGAATGAAGACCCCTCTGCCAGGGAGCCTTTTATACTCTCCAAAGCCTCCCCCCCTGGAAATGAGGCATTCCTTGGCTATTCTGACTCCCCTGGGGGTCACCCGGCACATCCTTCCCACGTGTCTTCCGGCATTTAATCTTTACCTCTTTCCTTTTGCTCACCTCCTCAATTCTGCCCCGTAATTACTCCTCCACACCAACAACAGACGCAAATTTCCTAATGAATTTGCGTTAATGGCACCGGAGGCAGCTCTGAGGAAGCTCCACTTCCCCGGGGGTGACCCCAGGACACACTCAGCAATGTGCCCAGGGCCGGGGGGTGCTGAAGCAGTGGGAGAACCACGCCTGGAACTTGGAGATGTCCCCACCCGTGCGTCCCCTCTGCCCTTGGTGGGGAATTTTTGGGGACCAGTGGGAACTGTTGGTCAATGTAAATCCTTGTTTTCCTGTCCCTGGGGTCAAAGTTTAGGCTGAAGGGTTTCTCCTTTCTCAGCCTTGCTCTTGGGTCTCCCTTCAGGGTGCTGGGCCCTCACACTCCCTGCTTTTTATTTCTGTTATATATTAAGGGTTTTTTTTTAATTTTCATCCATGGAATGGATGGATTAAATCAACCCCATGTGAGAAGGTGGTGTTGATGGTGCTTTCATGCCTTGAGAGGGACCAACAACAAAAGATGAGAGTTCCAAGATGCTGAGGCAGTGCCTACTCATGGCAAATCACGTCCAGCAGACTCTGACTGTGGGGCTGATGTGGTGGCAGGTGATCCCTGGTGGCCGGGACGTGATGTATCTTCCCAGGATGCGGCCGTGGCGTTGGGTGTCCCTTCTGGAATTGTCCCCAGGGGAGCATTGTTTAGGTCACTGCATAATAGCCAGAAACTTGCCTGCAGGAAGCAACGTCCTGCCTGTGTAAAGCCTCAGCCATCTCCCCTGAATAAGTCATTCATCACGTTTTTATCGGGCTTTATTGTCGCTGTATTGGCCAAGATGGTCCCAATCATCACAGAAACAATAATTCTATAATCATAGAAATGTGGAATAGTTTGGGTTGGAAGAGAACAACAAAGATCATCTAATCCAACCCTCCTGGATGGGCAGGGACAGATTCAACTACATCAGGTTGTTCAGAGCCCCGTCCAGCCTGGCCTTGGACACTCCCAGGGATCCAGGGGCAGCCACAGCTTCTTGGGGAAACCTTTGCCAGGGCCTCCCCACCCTCACAGGGAGGAATTTCTTCCCAATACCCAATCTAAACCTCATTTCTCTCAGTGGGAAGCCATTCCCCCTTGTCCTTTCCCTCCATCCCTTGCCCAAAGTCCCTCTCCAGCTCTCTTGAAGCCCTTTGGGCACTGGAAGGGGCTCTGAGGTTCTCCCTGGAACATTCTCCTCTCCAGTCTGAACCACCCCAACACTCTCAGCATTTATGGCATTTTTCCTGCTGTTAAATGTCATTTAATGTACAGTGGGGTCAGAAATGACACCTCCAGGAAGTCCCTTTTACATGCCATGCCCTGTTCTGTGATGTCTTTGTGAATTTCTGTGGTGGTTCGGTGAGTTTGGGACCTGCAGGACCTTTGTGAGTGGGGCAGGATCTGACCCTGCAGCTTTTCCAGGCTGGATAGGGCTCTGAGCAACCTGGACTAGTGGAAGGTGTCCCTGCCCATGGCAGGGGGTGGAATGAGATGATTATTAAGGTCCCTTCCAACCCAAACCATTCCATGACTCCACGATGAAATTAATAATCACATTATTTCCTTAACCAAGGCACTTCTGCTCTAGTTATGGTATAAAATATCCTCCTGCCAGTGCATTGTACATGATTTACCTCAGTAAAAGCCTCCTGAACACCTGGGAAGTGTTTTCAGAATAGTTAAACAGGTAGAGAAGATGATTCTAACACAGGTTGAGGAAGCAATCAAGCCAGTGCTCGAGGCACCTTCCCCAGACCTGCAATTCAGGGCTGACTCCTGCATTTTAATAGCAAAGAAAGTCCCAGCCAGGTAGGAAAGGTATCCCCGACTCATGTGTGGGCTATTCTAGGAATGAAGCCTTTAAGTTGTATGTTGAGCCCTGGGTTTCATTCCAGGGCTCGGAGTCCAGGAAGGCGCGGAGGAAACGCTCTGCTCACGTAAGAACAATTCCCATGGTTTCTGGGCTTTTATCTTCGGAAGATGGCAGTGGAAGAAGATGGTGCCCATGCTCAGTGAGTAGTGAATTCCTCTCAGTACCTCCTGAAATACCCTTTCCAAGATAAGGGAGTTCCTGTACATCTCACTGGGCTCTACAACTTCCTCCCGAGGGGCAGCTCCGACCTCTGCTCTGTGTGACAGGGACAGGACCCAGGGAGCGGCTGGAGCTGTGCCAGGGCAGGGTTAGACTGGATTTTAGGGAAAGGTTCTTCCCCCAGAGGGTGGTTGGCACTGACCAGGCTCCCCAGGGCAGTGGGCACAGCCCCAAGGCTGCCAGAGCTCCAGGAGGGTTTGGACAATGCTCTGAGGGATGGGGTGGGATTGTTGGGGTGTCTGTGCAGGGCCAGGGGTTGGATGGATGGTCCCTGTGGGACCCTTCCAGCTCAGGACATTCCATGATTCTATGATTTATGGAGTGTGTTTTCAGGTGGTGGGATTATGCCTCTATCAGTCCGTGTCATTTGAGTTTTAATTACCTTAACCTTTAAGTTTTACAGTAAACACTGAGCTGTGGCAAATGATCAGGAGGGGCAAGAAGGGATCCTAGAATCATGGAATGGTTTGGGTTGGAAGGGACATTGAAGATCATCCAGTCCCACCCCCTGCCATGGGCAGGGACACCTCCCACTATCCCAGGTTGCTCCAAGCCCTGTCCAACCTGGCCTTGGACACTCCCAGGGATGGGGCAGCCACAGCTTCTCTGGGCAACCCATTGCAGTGGCTCAGGCTGCTCTGCTGCAGACACGACCTAATTTGTGCCAGCAGACTGGGCAGCTCTTTGTTCCCTAAATGTCCTGCAGTGCCACTGGAGCTCATCTGAAGCCAAAGGCACAGATGGCACCGGAATGAGGGCAAATTCTGGGCAAAGCCGGGAAAGAACAACCAAAAGAGCAGAGGTTGCATTTTGCTTAATGCTCAGTTTTATTGTCTACAAGCCAAGAGAGGGAATGAAGAGTGATCACATTGCCAGCAAAGGGCTCCCAAGTCCCAACCACCAAGAAGAGAATGAACACCCCACTAATATCTAATGGCTCTTTGCCTTATACTATGGGTGATAAATTGAAGATACTCAATAACTAAAGGACAGAAAGAAGCAGCAGCTTAAGCTTGAAAAGAAGAAGAAAATCCCTACGTGTTGGCTCCATCACGATGAGAACCAGAGGCAAACGAGCAGGTTTTCATCTCCTGGGGCCTGTTCTCGTCGCACACCAGACGTGGAGCTGGCAGAGGTGCTTTTGCCACCCAGGGATGGCTCAGCAGCTCTTCTTGATGCAGCACTGCTGGATGGGGATGCAGGGGACACAGCACTTCCTGACAGTGGTGCAGCACTGCACGGGGCTGCAGCAAACCACCACGGGCTTCTTCACCACGTAGGAGCAGCAGGAGGAGCAGCAGGGCCGGGGCACACAGCAGACGGACTTCTGGCACACCTTGGTGCAGCACAGGGGCTGCTGGCACGGGTCACAGCAGACAGTCTTCTGGCACGGGTCACAGCACACAGACTGGCACGGGTCACAGCACACAGACTGGCACGGGTCACAGCAGCTGGACTGCTGGCATGGGTCACAGCACACAGACTGGCACGGGTCACAGCAGCTGGACTGCTGGCATGGATCACAGCAGGGCTTCTGGCACGGGTCACAGCAGACTGCCTGCTGGCACGGGTCACAGCAGGGCTTCTGGCATGGATCACAGCACACAGTCTGGCACGGGTCACAGCAGCTGGACTGCTGGCATGGATCACAGCAGGGCTTCTGGCATGGGTCACAGCACACAGTCTGGCACGGGTCACAGCAGGGCTTCTGACATGGGTCACAGCAGACTGCCTGCTGGCACGGGTCACAGCAGCTGGACTGCTGGCACGGGTCACAGCAGGGCTTCTGGCATGGGTCACAGCACACAGTCTGGCATGGGTCACAGCAGGGCTTCTGGCACGGGTCACAGCAGACTGCCTGCTGGCACGGGTCACAGCAGGGCTTCTGGCATGGGTCACAACACACAGTCTGGCATGGATCACAGCAGGGCTTCTGGCACGGATCACAGCAGACTGCCTGCTGGCACGGGTCACAGCACACAGACTGGCACGGGTCACAGCACACAGACTGGCACGGGTCACAGCAGACAGTCTTCTGGCACGGGTCACAGCACACTGTCTTCTGGCACGGGTCACAGCAGACAGTCTTCTGGCACGGGTCACAGCACACTGTCTTCTGGCACGGGTCGCAGCAGCAGGACTGCTGGCAGGGGCTGCAGCACACGCTCTTCTCGCAGCACACGGTTTTCTGGCAGGGGCTGCAGCACACGGTTTTCTGGCAGGGGCTGCAGCACACGGTCTTGGTCTTCACGACGGAGCAGCATCCTGTGGAGCAACATCCAGTGGAGCACATGTTGTTGGGAGTGTGGCTGAGGGTGGACGGAGTGAGGACCTGAAACACAGCGGACTTTCAGACACGACCCGTCTTTCCAAGTCTAGTGTTTATTTTGGCACAGAAGTGCTGCTGCCTCAAGCTGTGGGTGGTACCCACATCCCACCCTGCTTCCTACTGTGTTCCTTGAGGTGCCAAACTTCCTTGAGTTGCCAAGAAAGATCCTTACAGAAATCGAGCCACCTGTCGCTATCCCAGAGAGATTTCATCCAGTTCCCTCCTCCCTGAAGATCACTCCTGAACTTCCACTCCAAGAAGCTCATTTTCCACTCTGCCCTCCCTACTTTTTGCAAGACACAATAGACCAACAGGCTCAAAAGATCTGGATTTCCTAGAGAGCTGCAGAGCATGGAATCACAGAACAGTTTGGGTTGGAAGGGACCTCTAAAGGTCAATCCAGTCCAACACCCTGCAAAGATCAAACACAAAGACACATTTCCATTGACCAAACCCCAAACCATCACCACCACTGCTAATAGGTACCACTTACCGTAGCAGCTGAGAGGTGAAGTTGTGTGAGGAGCAAAGGGACCTGGAGACCTTTTATTTAGCTCGGGCTTGTCCTGCCGGACATGAGGTACCCCCCAGCAATTCGGGATTTACGCACTCAGCCTGCACTTATTCACCCAATGGGCCTTCAGCTGTTTAGTCTTTGCCTCGTGGGTTTTGACCAAGACCTCAATTTTGTGTCATTATCAATTTGTTGTGTGAATTTTTTACAGTTTTTTAATGTCAAGTTAATTCTTGTGGGATTCTTTAAAGGGTTTTTTTTCTGCTTGTTTTGCATATGGTAAAGCTGCTACATTGAGATCCTCTGTGGCTTGTTCAGCTTAATTAACATCAAAATCCTCATTAAGATTGAGGTGCAGTGGATTCCAGAGGCTTCTGGATGTCAGTCGCTCCTTGATATGATTTTTAGAATAGAATTCCAGGAAATGTAATTCCATGGCCTCATGTTTTGTATCTGAATGGAGAAATGGTGAAGCCCAGTGGGGTCCCTGGTCATCAGAAGGACAAATAGGGAACAGAAAGTTCTTGAGATCTTACCCCTCTCTATCTCATCCCATCCATGCAGGGGATGACACTTGGCCTTGGAATAGAATCATGGAATCATGGAATGTCCTGCACTGGAAGGGACCCACAAGGATTGTCAAAGTCCAACTCCTGGCCCTGCACAGCCCCACCAATCCCACCAGGCCCAAACAGCCCCTGAGCTCTGGCAGCTCAAGGCCTTGCCAAGACAATTTAGGTGCCCAGGACTGTGCAAATTCCCCGTGGAAATCCGGAGTTCGGCTCAAGTCGGGGTCCGTATTTTTCCAACTCCTTTCTGATGTATTCAAATCAAAGCCGAATGCAAAACCCCTCTGGAAGTTTTGCATCCTGTTTATGCTCAGCACAACTCGATCTGCAAAATTCCTATTCAATTCTTTTCAAATTCCACTTTGCCCTGGAGTAATGGAAGGTGTGATTTCTGGAATAACTCTGTGCTCACCTCTCAGTCACCCGTGGACGGCCATTAGAGCCAATGATAATGATCACCCCGTGATTATTCATTAATGACAGGCATTAATATCTGCTTTGCCTGAAGGCTCCATGGGATGTCCTGAGCACCTCGAGGATTTCAAATTAAACCACATCTTTATAAAATATTATCTCTCTGCTGTCAGAGGAAATTCAGGGGACTCGGGACCGTGACTGACGTGATGGAAGGTTTTGTGTCTGAGGTCACCCCGAGGAGAAGGGCTGATCCTGCTGCTTGGCCACCCTCCCCTGTGTCCTACAGCTTCTCTGGAGACACCCTGAGTTCTGCTGAGGGGAAGGAGAGAAGATTTAGGCTGTGTTTGCTCAGCCAGGACTAAAATCTGGGACGCTGAGGACACGATAGGTTGTCATGAACCTTCTGTTTGACTTCTGGGGACACAAAGCCTCTGTTTTCAGCCAGTTCTGTTGGGCAACTTCTGTTCAAACTTGGCTGCATCGCAGCTTGGAGGAGCTGCTCTTGCTTGGAGGGGTTCAGAGGGCCATGAAGTCACCACTTCTCCAGGCAAGGTCTTTCCAAGGTCAGCGTTCCTGCTCACTAAAACATGGGCTTAACTGAGCTCAGCCTCATGCTAATGAGCAGGTGAGACCAGGTCACTGCCACACATTATCATCTAATTAGAGACTGAGATTTATACACCAGCTGAGTACCTGCACCTCTTCAAACAGCCAAGGGGATTCCTGAGCCTGCAGAGAAATTCCAGGAGAATCCAACACTGAAAATATGGGGGATCCTGAGCAGGGAGGTAAAGTAAGAGATGTTGGTGAAAATAAGGCTTTGTGTGACTTTGTATGGATTTGGTGCATTGCTTCATCCAGAGAGCCGAAACCCCCACTGCTAGAGCTGGATGTGAATATCAAAAGGGTTTGAAGCTCTGTGAGATGGATCTGCAGGGATCCCATGGGGAAACCCATCACTGATTTTACAAAAGATTCAACCTAGAGACATAAAAATTTCCCAATTAAATTTTGCATGGAGTGGAGGGATTTAGGAGGCTCCATAAGGTGCCAGGAGTAGAGTAACACCCCTCTGTCTGTTTGGATTGGAGGATTATGGATGCAGTGAAGCAACCCTTGCTGGGAAACAAATTCCTCCTCATTAATCCTTCGGGGATTCCCACAGTTTATCCTGGTTGTGGAAATCTGCTGTTACGTTATTTAACACATATTAAACAGAGCAGAAACATCCCTTTAGGCTGTTTAGAGTGCTCTCCTCTCCAGGCTGAACATTCCCAACTCTCCCAGCCTGTCTCCATAGGGGAGGGGCTCCAGTCCCTTCACCAACACTGTGGCCTCCTCTGGACTCGCTCCAAGGCACAGTCACAGAGGAGAAAGTTGGACTCCTGGGGCAGCAAGAGAAAGTCTCAGCTTGAAGACAAACCCAGTGCTGTGGACACAGAGCTCCCCTACCTCAAACCCCACCTGCAGGGAGGGCAAGAATGAGTCAGAAACTGACTTGGCGCAGCTGCCAAGGGTCGTGTGAAGATGAGCCACCTCTTGGCAGGGACAACAACCCAGGTGCAGGTGAGTAATTAATTGCTCTCGGCATCCCATTGGCCACTTTTCCTTTTCAGCCTGTTCCTCTGTAATGACGATTTTCTCCATAACCTGTAAATAGGGAATTCCCATTCCTTAGAGACCAGCTGCTCATTTACTGGGCATTGCAGAGCTCGGCTCATTCCAGCCTGTTTCCCACGCCCGGGATGGGTGGATGAGTCACCCCAGGGAAACCTTCCCTTATTTTACAGTGGAGAAATTGTTTAATTGAGGGTGTTCCAAGGCAAGCTGCAAACCCTGCAGGATTTGCTTTGTTTTGCTTCCAAACGCAGCCCTAGGAAAGCAGGAACACGCAGGGAAAACAGGAATCCACAGGTCAGGCCCCCGGCTGGAAATCCAAACCCCCCAACGTGTGCTGAGCTCAGTGCAAGGATTTGTTTCCAATTAACCCTCCCAGCCCTCTGCGTGAGGTGCTCCTGGGATCACTGCTGGGAGCTGCAGGCATTTCCCATGGCTTTCATGTTTCCTTGGCGTTCCTCCTACCTGAGCTGCTTTCAGCAGGGATTAAAGCACAGCTCCAAACCCACAAGAAAACACAGGTGCCACCAGACAAGCACAGAATCCCAGGATTGCTGAGCTTGGAAAAGACCTCCCAGAACATCAAGTCCCCCCTGTGCCCCATCCCCACCTTGTCCCCAGCCCAGAGCACTCAGTGCCACAGCCAGTCCTTCCCTGGACACCTCCAGGGCTGGGGACTCCCCCACCTCCCTGGGCAGCCCCTGCCAAGGCCTGAACACCCTTTCCAGGAGGAAATTCCTCCTGATGCCCCACCTGACCCTCCCCTGGCACAGCTTGAGGCCATTTCCCCTCCTCCTGTCCCTTGTTCCCTGGGAGCAGAGCCCGACCCCCCCCGGCTCCCCCCTCCTGTCAGGGAATTCCAGAGCCAGAAGGTCCCCCCTGAGCCTCCTTTTCTCCGGGATGAGCCCCCCCAGCTCCCTCAGGTCCTTCTGGAGCTTCCCAGCCACTCTTCCCCCAGCTGGAGCTTCCCAGGGGGTTGTTGTGATCCCAGTGGAGGACTTGACACTTGGCCTTGTTAAACTCATACCTTGGCCCATCGATCCAGCCTGTGTGACAGAGTGGTGACTAAAACACCCAGAACTGTTCGCTTGGCTTCAAACACCATTTTTATTGTCTTGCAGGAGAGCGAAGCAGCAAAGCAAGGAGGAAACTGTTCCCAGCGGAGAGGGGACAAACAGCTCAAAACTCATGAGACCAAGAGGCTTCACCCCAAAATGGTGTCACCCCCAACCCTTCTTAGGACTGTTTGCCTGGAGAGAAGGCTGGAAAGGCTGGAAAGCCATGAGCACAGCAGTGAGCTTGAGGCCTTGGGCGAGGAACGAGGCAGCGCATCCGGGTGCCAGGATCAGATCCTTCCTCAGTACTTGGGGTACGTTGGTGGCATCTTGCAGATGTTCTTGGTGTACTGGGGGCAGTAGGGGACTGGGGGGCAATAACGCTGCACGGGGGGGCAATAACTCTGCACGGGGGGGCAATAACGCTGCACCGGGGGGCAACAGGGGGTCACGTAGCTGAACTTCTGCACAGGCTGCCTCTGGATGGTGTAGTGGCAGGAGGGCCCCGAGTCGTGGCAGGAGCGGGATCCGTGGCAGGAAGACCTGGATCCGTGGCAGGAGGACTCGTAGTCGTGGCAGGACCCCCGGGAGCACATCTTCTGGAGTATCAGCAGAGCTGTGTGGAGCAAGAGATCAACGTGGTGAGAGGAAACTCAGTTCACTTCTTGTATTCTCACCCTTTTTAATAATATTTTTCTTGACATCTCCAGTCTTGAGTCTCCAGCTTCTCTTTCTTTTTTCCTGCCTAATCCAGACCCAGCAATCCTGATGGATCTGCTGGGTGTGCTCTGGGAGCTGCTGTGTGGAACCAGGTCCCTACAAGCCAGCTGGAGCCCCATGAGCCCATTTCCAAACCCACCTCCCTTGTGAAAGAGCTCAGAGTTTGTGCCACCCGAGGATCCCTTCGAGTGCCTTTGCTGCCCCTTCCCGGTGATCCCCATCCCTCCACCTGCCATTCCCTCTTCCTCAGGGGCACAAGGAGGAACTTAACCAAGTCCCAGTTTCCAGGAGGTCCATAAAAACCTCTTGTGGAGTTTTCTTCTCTCTCAGCCAAAGCAGAAATAGTAAAATTGGTCTTACCCTCTTCAGCTGCAGCGAGAAGTTTCTGGAAGCGAAGGCGAGCGACTGAGGAGGACTGGGCTGAGCGACCTTTTATACCCTCCAAAGGTTATCTGGGATATGAGACACCTCTGTGCAATGACAGTTTAATTATTTCCGCTCTCAATCCCTATTTTTAGTGTTTCCTCTTTGGCACACCGTGTCCCATCCCATAGGTAATTCCCAACGCAGGGATTTTCGAAGGCACTTCTCTCCCGTTTCCTGGAGACTGACACTAATCTGACGGGTGTTAATTAGCTGGCCAGGGGATAACTGGGATTGCATCAGTGACAGAAAGGGCCCAGAAATGCTGACTCCTGGGGAAGGTCTCCCGTTGGGTGCAGGTGACAGCTCAGGACTTTAATTTGCCTGCTGCTGAATGCCAAGAGGAAATAATGGGATTATCAGCTGCAACTCCTGGGCATGGCACAAAGCTGGAAAATCCGGAGGGATCTCCTCGGTTCCCTGGTGTGGCAAAAAAGAAAATGTTTCTGGTGCTTCACGTGTTCCTTGAGTTGGCAGATGATTGGGATGATCCCATCAGATCGTTCCACGTGAATCAAAGGTTATTAAGATCAGAGAAAAACAGCTGACGATGAGCTCTGTGCAAGGTAGGAGTGTAGTCAGTTTTCCCATTCCTTGGTTTCTCTTTCCTTCACTGATATTTTTATGCTTTCCCCCCCCCCGACCTCACCTGCAGAGGAGTGTGGAAAGCAAAGGATTCAGAGAAAGGGAGCCAAAGTTTGAGCAAATATTGGATTCTGTCACTAAAGCTGGATTTATAACCCCATTTGACCCAGAGTTTGAAACCCAAGAAAAAGAAACTCATCAACTTGGGGAAATGTTGCCCATTAGAGCAATTTATTGACTGAGGAGAAGATCCTCCCAAAGTGTGGGTGTCCTGCAGCTTTTCTTCAGGCCAGAGGCAACGCAATTGCTTGTGGTGAGTTCTGTGCAGCAAGGGAGGATGGCCCCAATTCCTCAGGGACATTTTGTGACTCAGTTGTGGGTCCCAAACCAAAACCTGCACTTGCCCAGCCACCAAAATCAGTGCTGGTGTGACAGTTCTTTCCTCCAGGCTTTGTCCTGGAGCATCACACTGGTGTTCCTCCAAAATCTTTCTGCCTGGTCAACAACCTTCCAAAAATGGGGTGTTGTTGGTTACACCCACTCAAAAGGCATCTCTGAACCTTTCAGATTCAGGTCCTGTTAAAGAAAACGTGACCCTTAAAGAGTTCTAATCATCCTCTGCTCACAGGCCTTCCAGGGCAGTTTGTGGCTTCTGTTTTCAGAGGCTCAGACGTGTTCAGGTATTTGAAAATATTTCTATTTCTATTTCTATTTCTATTTCTATTTCTATTTCTATTTCTATTTCTATTTCTATTTCTATTTCTATTTCTATTTCTATTTCTATTTCTATTTCTATTTATTTGCCCAAGGTCTGGCATTGGGCTTGGAGGAAATTACTGCATGTTGAGAAAGAGCAACTGTGACCTACTTATTGCACTTCCATTTAATGAGCTATCACAGAATCCCAGGATCATTTAGGTTGGAAAAGCCCTCAAAGCCCCTGTGCCCCATCCCCACCTTGGCCCCAGCCCAGAGCACTCAGTGCCACAGCCACTCCTTCCCTGGACACCTCCAGGGCTGGGCACTCCCCCACCTCCCTGGGCAGCCCCTGCCAAGGCCTGAACACCCTTTCCAGGGGGAAATTCCTCCTCATGGCCAACCTGACCCTCCCCTGGCACAGCTTGAGGCCGTTTCCCCTCCTCCTGTCCCTTGTTCCCTGGGAGCAGAGCCCGACTCACACTTTTCTACACCCTCCTGTCAGGGAGTTGCTGAGTTTGAATTCAGGTTGAATTCTCTGATATTTTTTTCACAATGATGGGACAAAAATCTGTGTGGACCCCTGGAAGCAAGGAAAGCTTTTCTCTGCTCAACCTTATGCCCATGTAGATTTTTGGTAGCTGAGAACTTTTCCCTCTACTAATGTGTCTTCCCTTCATTCCCAAATGAATGTGGGAATTATTTGCCACCAACTGTTGGGATACTTTGAGAATATGAGGAAATTTGACTGAAGAACCCAGAAAAAAATGTAAAAAAAAAATCAAGGAAAAAGAGAATAAAGAAATTCAAAGACAACAAGGGTCTCATGAACTGCCAGATTTATTTCCCACACCCAGATGAGTCCGAAACAGAAAATGCACAACAGACAAAGATCCCCAACAGCAATTAAAGCCCTGAATAATTAGAAAGGACATTTCCCGAATAATTAGAAAGAATGACACCCCAGATGTTAATTAGGGGAACACTTCATCCCAGGGAGGCACATGGCAGGATTTCAGGGAGGAGGAGATGAGCCGTGGTCGGAGTTGAGGGAGGAGCCGGTGGGTCTGGAGTCGGGGTTGGATCCTGTCAATACTTGGGGCAAGCTGGTGGCAGGTTACAGATGTTCTTGGTGTACTGGGGGCAGTAGGGGACCTGGGGGCAGTAGGGGACCTGGGGGCAATATGGGACCTGGGGGCAGTAGGGGATCTGGGGGCAGTAAGGGCCCGGGGGGCAGTAGCGCTGCCCGGGGGGGCAGCAGGACGTCACGAAGCTGCATTTCTGCACCGGCTGCCTCTGGACGGGGTAGTGGCAGGAGGACTCCGAGTCGTGGCAGGAGGAGCGGGACCTGAGGCAGGAGAACCAGGATCTGTGGCTGGAAGAGCGGGATCCGTGGCAGGAGGACTCGTGGTCGTGGCAGGAGCTGCGGGAGCACATTGTTCCGGAGCGCCGGGAGCTGGAGGGAAGAGAGACCCCGTCAGCCCGGCACGGCTGGGACCCACAGGGGCCTCCCGTGCTTTCCTTGCCTCTTGTCCTGTATGGGATGGGAAGTGTTGTCTTCCTGTGTTTTGTAATATCTGGGATGTCGTGGCCCTGCCAGTGACTCTGCCTTGGCTTTTGGGGGATGCTCCGTGATGGTCCAGCTCTGATGGGAATTTCCCAGCCAAGATGCTACTTAAGGTAAAATTTACTTCTCAAATTTACTTCTACACTGATTTGTCTGAGCTCTCTCCCTCTCCATCACCAGCCAGTTTGGGAATGAATTCCTTGCTGGCTCCCGAAGACTTTGTGTCTTTGTGGATCTGCTCCTTCAATTACTCCTATTTTTCTATCAACCCATCTGTGAGCAAACCACGAGCACCCTCCGTGTAGCCAACATGTTCAGGCACCTGATCCCCCCAGCCAAGGAATTTCTAAGACAAAGGCAAGGTCTAAACACAGAACTAGTCCTCTGTCAACTTCTGCTGCTCAAGAGAAGACAAATCAATATAATCCAACTCACCCTTTGCTGGAGCAAGAGGAAGAGCGCGGAGAGCTGATGCTGAATGGAGGAGGAACAAGGCATGGCCAACTTTTATATCTTCCCAAGGGTTGTCCAAGAAATTAGGCACCTCTTGGCAATGCTGACACAAACACTCATATTCATATTTATCTTCTGTGTCTGGTTTTGAGCATTTCCGATTCGACGCCGTCAGGAAAAGCCATTATGACTTTTTCCTCAGCACTGTAATAGACAACAACGAATTTCCCAATCTGCTTATAAGGGAATTTTGAAGGCTGAGGCACATTTACATATTAAAAATGCACCTAACCCTGGAGTTATTAAGTGATTTGTCGTTGGGCAACCGGGATTGCATCAACGTACAAGTCAGAGGTGTTGACTCCGGGCCCGTGTGCTGCCCCTTGCTCTGCTCGGCACACTCACATTTTGATTGATGGATTTTTTTTCCTGACACAAGGCACTGTAATTAACAGCCCCAGCTCCCGGGGACTCGATTAGAGGGAGGTCCTGTTGACGAGCTCGAACGCACACGACGCCTCAGCACAGGAGGTGACGCCAAAAGGACATTCCCCAAATCCAATTTTTGTCATTCCGTTTGTGAATCCACCAACCCTCAACTGCTTCTCACTCCTGCTGCAACATCACCCTGTTTAATTCCTCCTCCAAGGAAGGAGGGGGGTTCAAAGCCTTTTGTGTGAGGATTTTCCCTCCTGGCAACCTGTTTTCAGACCTAGCTTGCTTTGGGGTCCTGATTTAAGCAGTTCTGTAATTTTTACTCATTTTTTTACCTTTTACAATGGCCCAAGATTTCAGGACAATAAATCAATCAATAAAATAAAATGGGTGATTGTTCCTTTCCTGTGACTTTTATCCAGGAGAGTGCCTCAGGAACAACTGAGGAGTTGGGGAAGGAGTTGATTTTTAGGGTCCCTTCCAACCCAAAGCATTTTATGACTTTCTGATTATTTTTCCTGATTTTTTCAGGGCCGTGATTCAGCAAACCAAAAGTGTTCAAGAAAATATTTCAGAGCCAATCTCGTTCAGGAAAATCCAAAGCCTTCTGAGAAGTGCTGTGAGTTGTAAATGCTGGAGAAACGGTTTATTCAGGTTGATAAAAACCTTTTTGGGGAAGGCCCTGGGGTCAGCTCTCCAGGAGAGAGGGTGAATTCACAGAATCACGGGATGGTTTGGGTTGGGAGGGACCGTGAGGATCGTCTCGTTCAGCTCTCAGGCTCAGAATTTCAGCTGAGTCTGGTTGTTGAGCTCCCTGAGAAGCTGATGCAGCCGAACAGGCGCCGGCAGGAGGAACTGAGCCTGTTCTGGAAGGGATGGCTCAGCTGGACGTGCTGGAGATAAGGGCAGTCCCAGGCTGCAAAAAGCAGACACACATTTACCATTTAGTTTTAAGTGCCTGCAACTGGCACTGGAAACAGCAGTTTGGAGCCCAGTGAAAGAAGGAGGGTTGGGAAAAAACCACTAAGTGCTCATTTGCACTTTTCAGACACCTGGAAATGTTTGTGATTCTGAGTCGGGGTGAGGAGTGGGAGGTGCTGCTGAGGGAGGGACTCAGTGAGGCAGTTCTACACTAAATAGAATCATGGCATGGTTTGGGTTGGAAGGGACCTTAAAAATCACTCCCTTCCACCCCCTGCCAGGGGCAGGGCCACCTTCTGCTATCCCAGGTTGCTCCAACCTGGCCTTGGACTCTTCCAGGGATGGGGCAGCCACAGCTTCTCTGGGCAACCTGTGCCAGGACCTCACCTCCCTCCCAGGAAAGAATTCCTTATATATATATATATATAAATATATAAAAATATAAATATATATAAATATATATAAATATATATTCTGTATATAAATATATATAAATAAATAGGGTGCAGGTGAGCTCCTTGCACATTCACCTGCCCCAGAAATGTCTCTGCAATCACTGGCTTTTATTATTTTGAAACTCTTGGGGCATTTTGTGCTAAGTTTTAAGAAAAGAAAGCGAAGGGGTGACTCAGAAGTCGGAGGTGACGATGATTCTCAGGTAAAGAGGTTAAAGAACAAACAAATATATCTAAAATATAAATAAATACATAAACGTAAATAAACAGATCATAAACTCTTTCTATTTCTGGAAATCAAATTTTATTGTCTCATCTGCGTGTCTTTGGGGGGTTGACACATCCGTGTGTCAGGCACCAGGAATCACTCCCGGCTCCACGGAAAACCACCTCAGCTGGGTCTTTTGTGCCGAGTAAATGAAACCAAATTGGACTCATGTTTTGGAGGAGATTCCAATCACAGACGAGGAATTCGAGGATCAAATCAAAGATGGGAAAAGAGAAGCATCAATTCAATATTTCAGGCACTGAGGGCACCCGAGGCGGGAGGGAGCCGGTGGGTCCAGGCTGGATCCTCCTGTTAATATTTGGGGTACGTTGGTGGCATCTTGCAGATGTTCTTGGTGTACTGGGGGCAGTAGGGGGCCGGGGGGCAATAACGCTGCAGGGGGGGGTAACAGGGCTGCACGGGGGGGCAATAATTCTGCACGGGGGGGCAACAGGGGGTCACATAGCTGAACTTCTGCACCGGCTGCCTCTGGAGGGTGTAGTGGCAGGAGGGCCCCGAGTCGTGGCAGGACGAGTGGGACTCGTGGCAGGAGGTTTCGTGGCTGTGGCAGGACCCCCGGGAGCACATTTTTCCTGGAGGATCAACAGAGCTGGAGGGGGGAGAGAGAGAGAGAGAGAAATGATCACGTGGTCACAGATGGACGTGATTACACCGACATCCTGCAGTTTGCTCTGGGATCCCCTGTTTTCTTCCTGATTTCTAGTTCTTCAGGGGTAAGGAAGTGGTGTCAGGGTTGATTGGGAGATGCTTTATAGCCCCCCCCCTAAACTTTTTTGGATGCAAGTTGCCTTTTAGAGAAAAATCGGTCCAAACCTTTGCTGGCCATGAGCAACTCCAGACCCTCCAGTGCCTTCTGCTTGAAAACCTGAAGTCCCTTGTCCACAAAATCCTCTCTCTGTTCTCTCTCTGTATTTCCCACAAAATCCTCTGGGCTTTCCCCTCTGTATTTTCCACCCTTTCTGTTGGTTTGGTTTGACTTGAGCCTCTGCCCAAAGCCTTTATTGTCATTTGCTTTAACAAAACAGCTCCTGTGGGTGAGCTTGGTCTCCAGCACCACCAAGGTCCAGAGGTGAGGAGTGACTGTCCTACTCCAACTCTACCAAAACTTGCAGGAAAACAGACAATTTCATAAAGAAACTCCAGAGGAAGAGAAAAACTGGACTTACCCTCTCAGCAATGGGGATGGAGGAGTGTTGGAGCAGAGCAGTGAGTGAAGGGAGCTGGGCTGAGGAACCTTTTATATGTTCCCAAAGGGTTATCTGGGACATGAGACACCTCTAATTACACATCCCAGCCCATTTCTATCCGCTGTGTTCAGCTTCCCGTATTTTCCCTTTGATGCTCTGTGCTTTTGGGATGGTAATTGTCCCATAAGTTATTAATAGCACCTTAATTCCTTCACCTCCCTGTGAAGGAGATTGGAAGGTATTTCATGGGAAGTGACACCGGCACCAAAACCGACGGATCTGCTCACGGACAACGTGGATCGAGCCCAGGAGATGTTTGTGACCCAGAAGAACCAAGTCCTCAGTGTCACATGGACCAAGAGCTCAACGTGATCAACCTCCATGTGAAGGAAAAATGACTGTTGCTGTTAATCCCTGTGGATTATGGTTAGGGCAGGAATCCTGCAGCTGAGTTGCCCAATGGGACCGGATACGAGGGATTTGCATTAGCCCAAATAAGTCCTTCATGGGTAATTCCGACCCTATCAAGGATTTCTCCTCTTCTTCTTCTTCTTCTCTGACCCTGGCTGGGCACCAGGTGCCCCCCAAAGTCCTGCCAGCAAACCCCCTCCAGTGTTGGCTCCTCTTTCCACGGCTGTAGATCCCCCTCCACCAAAACCTTGTCATCCAAACCCAACACGTGGCTTTAGATCCTGTTTTAGCAGCACTGAGTGCCACGTCCAGTCATTCCTGGAACATCTCCAGGGTGTCCTAAGTCCTGCTCCTGCTCCCAGAAATGATTTGGTGATTTTCCTGTTCCTATTTTCCTCTGTCCTTATCCAATTTACTCCTCATTTCCCCCCCAGATTTTAAATCAAACCCGTCTTTAGTTCTTCCTGGGAATCTTCAGCAGCTGAGCTGTGAGAAGGGGGGCTCTGGGGGGGTCACAGGAACACTGAGGGTGATATTTTGGACTGTTGGCTGGGACAAAGTGCTGGTGTTGCTGTCCTGTTTTCAGTCCTCAACCGTGGCCTCTCTGCAGCTCTTGTGGAACGGGGATGCTCAGACAGGGATGGAGCTCAAGCAAAAATAAACAAAGCAGTGGGAGAAGCTCCCGAGCCCGGATTTTCCCGTGAATCACTTCGGGATGA